CAGTGGTGTCTCTCTCTTATCGCAGAGATGGTGGCCCAAGTATTGTTCTTGCAGCTCACAGGTCAAGCACTTCCTTTAAACGCTCGGGTGCACGGGATGTGTCGCCGTCTCTTCGCCAAGAAGTTGTTCGCCCAGCTGCTCCTCATCATGCAGATTATTGTTGCAGACGGACGTAGACTAAAGTGCGCCCATGCGGTGAGTGATCCCTCCAGAGTGGGCGCCGCCGCCGCCGCTGTGGCAGATGCAGGGAACAAGTGCTGCGTGTGCTCCCCAGGGATGAATGGCAAGTGGTCAGTTGAAGCTGATGTTGGTGGGCCTCCTCATGATACGCGGCGATGGACAAGCCGCCGCAGCCCTGCGGCCGTCTCAGTGGGTGGCATGGCGAGCGTCGCAGACTATAGCCCCGATTGTTGTGCATGCCCAAGCCGCTGACATGGCGCATGGCTACGCAACGATCCTCGAAAGGTGAGGGCCTTCCATGCAGCACGCGATGGTAAGAACACCCCAGGCGGTGTAGAATTCGATTCCAGCGGAACGAGCACTATCGCAGTCACGCCGTGCCCATCCATCGCCACCGTTGCAGTTGCATCGTCGTGCGGGTTGTCTCACACATCGTGTTATTTGTCGTGTCTTTCCCCGACCTTGCAGCATCATCTGTCCTCCCCATCCTTCTGCACCTTGGCGCTTCCCCTCTCCTTCTCTTCTTGCATCCCTCCTTATCGTGGGGATGGTGTCCCACGCCTCCAGGGAGAAGAAGGAGACGGAGGAGATCGGAAGAGAAGGAGCTAGAGGGGGAGAGGAGGAGGAGGAGGAGGAGGAGGAGAAGACAGAGGACGAGGAGGAGGGGGAGGAGGAGAAATGATGCGCATGAGCAAGAGGAGCAGGAGAGGACCACCTCCTCTCCTTCGCCTCGCCGGCCCCTCCCGCGAACCCCTTGGACCTCCTTCCAAATCCCCTGCCCCCCCCCTCAAACCCTTCTGCTCCGCCTCCTTCTCTTCTTCCTCTTCATGTTTTTCCCTGTCCCTCCTCCTGCCACCTCCTCCTCCCGTATTTTCCCTCGAACTGTTTCTTTCCCTCTTCCCTTAAGAATGCCATGAATATATCGATGCGACCACAAGTGTAGGCGGCCAATGTTGTAACTGGCCAAGCATATGAGCCCTTAAGTTTTGCTAGTCGATGGGCGAGGTCGAAGGTGAGGAGACCTCATTCAAAACCAGCACATCTGAAGAGAACGATTGAATCCATGCGTGATGTAGCGATTGCCGGCGCTCCCTTGAACGTACGGTTATTTGACTTGACTTGGCCCTTGCCTCCTTCTTCGTGCTCCTACTCATCCTTTTCATCCTCTTCTCATCCTCTCAAATGCTTAAGTGCTCAAGTGCCGACAACCTAAAGGCTTCAAGTGCTCAAGTGCACTGTTTACCTTTACCTGCATCCCCACCCCCCCATTACTGCACGCCTTCTCCCACAATATCTCAGAATCTTGTTGCACCGCTTTGGGCAGGCATGCCTGACAAGAGCAGACGTCAAGGTGGACTCACCAGCTCGACACCAAAACGACAGAAGAAGCAGAAAGAGGAACGTGAGTTATCCATATGGTCGGCGGATTGCAATCGTTGCAGCCTCCCCCCAACCATGGTGTGAGGAGTTGTATCGGCAAGTTTCCAATCAGCTCCAAGGCCTCACGGACGAATTGCACGGCGTAAACATGATGGTAAAGGAAGCAAGGGAGGAGGCAAGTAATGCAATTGTGGTTGCAACAGAGGTCGAAGAAAGCATAGCTGATGTGTTGATAGAAAACAAGACCCCAAGCTTGAGATACAAACAGACTTCGTCAACAAGAAGTGACTGAAATATCACATTGAAGCAATCGGTAAAGACAAGATCGAGTAAGCTTCGGCGAGCGCAATCGCAGAGAACACTGACCAGCACATCCACAATGATGAAGAAAAACGTGAATTGCATGTTATTCTGGGGGGTTAAAAAGAGCTGGGCGAGGAATCCAAAATCGAGAAGCTCCAGAAGTTCACTGCGGACACAAACTTCGCGGAACAAGCGATAGCATCTTTAAATGCACATTTACTTGCAAAATAGGCGCACTTCAGTTCAAGTCTAAACAGACAAATAATGGTTTTCTCCGCAAGATACATGAGCAGACCAGCGAGAGGGATGACTAATCGATAACGCGCACAAAACATAGCAACTATGGAGCAGCGTATCGCTGCCAAAACCTTGGAACAATTCAAACACAGGCGTGCAAATTACAATATGTAGCGTGTGCGACAGCGGCACTATCAAGCTGAAGCGAAATACTGTCGCATTGTTAGACATGCAGGGGGGCATCACGAAATACGATGAGGGAAAGGATGTGCAGGAAGAGGTGGAGAGTTTCATGCAGGATTGGAGGAATGCCCGAGATAACGATCTTTGACGACTCCTACTTCGGCGACAACATGCTTCACCAGCCGCGTTCCGACGCCGCGATCAGACACAAGGGCCAACACAAGTAGCCGTGCATTTTCTCCGGACTACGGATCATCTGGCATTAGTCCCAACCACTACAGAGGGCGGCCGGCGAAAGTTCAGTGGTTTAGGGGGGGGGGAGTTTTCCCGTCAATGCGTTGCGAAGGTCCTGTGTTCCACCGGTTTTTACGTCCCCAGTTCTCGTTTCACCCATACCTATTTTCAGGAATGGCGTGCAGGACTGTTCCCGACTCCGCAGATCCGACTATTTTCGCGTACCTCTCGATTCTGGCTCCCACCGATCTCGGCAGCAGCTGGATGGTGCAAGTCAGGAGGGGGCCGATAGCCGCGATGCCTTCCACGTCATCCACATGAGTGTGAGGGAGTTGACACCGATGGCAGAATTGACGAATTCACTGCGGAGCTACGTCACACGCCCCGGGTCGCCGTGCTGCTGAACGAAACGATGCGCCACATCGTGACGGAGCCATGGGTTACGACGCATGGACATTTGTCTTGCGCATCGGGGCGTGACAGAAAGACGTATGGAAATGCTATTTTATTAAACCGTGGTTGGCATGCACACTTGGTCAAGTTTTTGCCTGTAGACCAGAGATTGGCACACATGGACATCGCAAGGCATACGATAAGACTCCAGCTGGTTTCTGCGCATTTCCCTGACAGCGGTTACAAGGACTACAACGTTGAGCGTATCTATGACACAATCGTCACAACCATGCATGAGGCTCGCAAAAGGCTGGCGGGTTACGACGCATGGACATTTGTCTTGCGCATCGGGGCGTGACAGAAAGACGCATGGAAATGCTATTTCCCGGCGGAGCCGGGTGAAATTCCGTGCCCGCCGGCTGACTGATGACTGACTGAACGTCAGGGGACAGCTCGGGAGACACATTTCAAACCGCCCGCGGGAGCGCAACCCGGCGGCGGCAACCGCAACCCAACCGGGCGACACATTTCAAAGCGCCCGCGGGAGCGCGCAACCGCAACCGCAACCGCAACCGGGCGACACATTTCAAAGCGCCCGCGGGAGCGCGCAACCGCAACCGCAACCTGGCGACACATTTCAAAGCGCCCGCGGGAGCGCGCAACCGCAACCGCAACCGCAACCGGGCGACACATTTCAAAGCGCCCGCGGGCGCGCAACCGCAACCGCAACCGGGCGACACATTTCAAAGCGCCCGCGGGAGCGCGCAACCGCAACCGCAACCGCAACCGGGCGACACATTTCAAAGCGCCCGCGGGAGCGCAAACCGCAACCGCAACCGGGCGACACATTTCAAAGCGCCCGCGGGAGCGCGCAACCGCAACCGCAACCGGGCGGTTTTTCAAGCGCCCGCGGGCGCGCAACCGCAACCGCAACCGGCGACACATTTCAAAGCGCCCGCGGGAGCGCGCAACCGCAACCGCAACCGCAACCGGGCGACACATTTCAAAGCGCCCGCGGGCGCGCAACCGCAACCGCAACCCGGCGACACATTTCAAAGCGCCCGCGGGAGCGCGCAACCGCAACCGCAACCGCAACCGGGCGACACATTTCAAAGCGCCCGCGGGCGCAACCGCAACCGCGACCGCAACCGGGCGACACATTTCAAAGCGCCCGCGGGCTCGCAACCGCAACCGCAACCGGGCGACACATTTCAAAGCGCCCGCGGGCTCGCAACCGCAACCGCAACCGGGCGACACATTTCAAAGCGCCCGCGGGAGCGCGCAACCGCAACCGCAACCGGGCGACACATTTCAAAGCGCCCGCGGGAGCGCGCAACCGCAACCGCAACGGCAACTGGGCGACACATTTCAAAGCGCCCGCGGGAGCGCGCAACCGCAACCGCAACCGGGCGACACATTTCAAAGCGCCCGCGGGAGGGCGCACCCGCAGGGTTTCAAAGGGGTCGATTGCGCGTGCACTTGCGCGTAAGCTGCCCGCGGAAGGTGGCGCGTAGGCGCCTTAATGCGGTCTGCCGCGCGAGCGGCTTGCGTGATCCACCGCGCAAGGTCGTCGCGCAATCGAGTGCAACCCCCCTTCTGATCGTCTCTCCCTGGGGGGTCAGGCGAATGGAATTGCCTCAGCCACGTCTCGGCCACGCTCGTGGGACTGCCCCCCGCAGGGTTTCAAGGGGGTCGATTGCGCGGGCACTCGCGCGCATGCCGCCCTCGTAAGTTCGCGCGTCTGCCGCGCGAGCGGCCTGCGTGAGCCACCGCGCAAGGTCGTCGCGCATTCGAGTGCAACCCCCCTTCTGATCGTTTCTCCCGGGAGGTTCAGGCGAGTGGAGTTGCCTCAGCCACATTTCGGCCACGCTCGTGGGACTGCCCCCCGCAGGGTTTCAAGGGGGTCGATTGGGGGCGGGGGACGACAAGGAGAAGAAGGAGGAGCCACTGGCGGAGGGCCCGACGACGAGCCCCCGCGTGGCCCGGGGTTCTCCGCCGGGACATTGCAGCGGGGAATCCCTATTCCACGCTGCTGCCCTTGATTTATTGAACCGTGGTTGGCATGCACACTTGGTCAAGTTTTTGCCTGTAGACCAGAGATTGGCACACATGGACATCGCAAGGCATACGATAAGATTCCAGCTGGTTTCTGCGCATTTCCCTCATAGCGGTTACAAGGACTACAACGTTGAGCGTATCTATGACACAATCGTCACAACCATGCATGAGGCTCGCCAGAATCGACGACACATCGTACCAGGAGCCGACTGCAATGCAAAGGCGGGGTATTACGAAGATGGCTATATTATCAAGACAGTCGGGGTAGATTTGGGCCTAGCAATACGCGGGGCCGATGGTTGAATTGGCCGTTGGCGAGCACGATGCTCAAGGCGATTACGTAACACATAGTTATTTACCCAACAAAATACGTAGACATATCGATTTCATCATGGATGGTCTGCTTTTTTTCTGGCGCACGTTCCGTAGCAGCGGTGCGGGCTGATTCATTGACATGGGTTCTGACCAAAGGGTTGTGCACTTATCACGCGCTATAGCTCGAACAGCCGCCGAACGACCGGCTGTTACAACGGCAAGGCCAAAGAAGACGAAATGGAAAATCAAGCGCGGCCACCTCGTGATAAGCAGACCTTTGGAAGCACCGTTGGCGATGATCTCAGTGGCGTGGTCATCATGGACGGTTTGGGACGCCGGTGCACGCAGATTGAGGACGTGGTGAAAGCTGTGTTTCTTCTATCAATGCCATGAAGCATCCAATCCGTCTGACGACCAGCCAGATGATGCACGACAGCAAATTGCTCCCTGTGCCATGCTCGACGAACGGCGGAACAGACCACGAGAAGGTATGACCCAAAGAAATACTGCAACGAAGCGAATACGGAGGAAAGTGAAAACCATCCGACGGGCATCTCGACATTCGCAGATTGATCGTGTCATCAGCGACTACAAGGACTTGAAAAGATCAGTGGCACCAAGGCCAACAGGCGCGCGAATCTGATATTGCAAATGAGGCGACCAGACGGCACCACAGACCATTCGAGAAGAGGCATTGCGCACATGTGTGTTGATTGTTTGGGGTCTCTTGGTCAACAACATGGTCGTGATACACACCACCAACAGAAAATCGAGCAGTACTGCGCCATGCCAGCCCCGCAGTGTTCTCCATATCGGAATCGAAGGCTTTGCTCAATCAGTTGACGAACGGGAAGTCTCTGGACAATTCGGGTATTTTGGCGGAGATAGCAAAGTATGGCGGTTCAGTGTTCGAGCAAACGTTGCTGCATGTGTACAAGAACACGTTGAAACCTAATTCGGGGAGACCAGAACAATGGCGCCGAGCAAGCATCACGGTGGTGCACAAGGCAGGCGATCCATCCCAGCAGCAGAACTACCGCACAACCGCGGTTACTGCCTCATGAAACAAGCTATTGTAGCGGCCTCCGGCCAATGCCGCCGATCGGGGGGGGGCTGGATGTTTGTGCGACACAGGAGTGCCGTGCTTGGGTTTTGGGTGACCGTGAAGCCTCTGACATAGTCGTGGGGGTGTCGTGGGAGGGCTCTCGCGTGTTGTCTGAAAGCAGTTTTGAAGCCGATTTGACGCCGTTGTGGGGCCTCTTGGGACGTCTTGGGGACCTCATGGGGGTTTTGTGGGGCTTTGAAGGGCTTCTTGGGACAACGAGGGGGTATTCTGGGGCGGAAGGCAGGAATCATTTGTTCGGGCTTCCCCTCTGGGGCGTTTCTGGGCGTTGTCTTGAAGTTTTGCTTGGGCCGCCTTGGGCGCCTAGTGGTCGGTTTCGGGGCTCCCTCAGGACGTTTTGGGGCGGTGTTCGGGGGTCTCTGGGAACCTCTTGGGAACTTGTCGGAGCGTCTTGGACGTCGTGAAGAAGACCGAGAAGTCGGACATGCTAGACATGTAGATTGCCCCAAACAAATGAATGGTGTTTGCCTCGTGGCGCCTCTTGGGGATACTCTCCGGGCCTCTTGGGACGCCTTGAGCGCTGCTGCGGCCGACTGCAGGCGACCTTGGGCGTCTGGACCAGGGCCCGATCTTTCAGCGATTGCATAGGGCCTAAAAGATCCTGAGTTGCAAAGGCTGACGCGTCCAAGGCCCCCCCTTCCCTGGCAGAGCCACCCTGGCACCCCCTCCTGTAGAGCTGAAGCTCAGGCTCGAAGTTGTAGCTGAAGTTCGTTGATCCTCACAATCCAGATCGGCGGAAAACGAAAACTAGCTTACAAGCGATTTGACCAACAACTGTTTTACGGCAGCCTCCTTATCAAGCAAGTTCCTGGCGTCAGCTTCCATGGATGAGCATTTTGTCACGCTGAACGCGGTGGAAGCGAAGATTCAAGAATGGCCGTTTCCTGCGAGGACCGCAACGCTTGAGTTCAAGAAGGCGTTCGACACGGTGTCATGTTGAAAATGGTGTAAATTTCTGGGGGAGCAAAGGGTTCAAGATGAACGTCTCAGTTCTGCGACGCTAAAATAGCACACAGACGACGGTTGTTTCACGTACAGCGTGGTACAACACAGGAGGGGCCACTGAGTTGATTTCAGTGCGTTGCTAGAGGGCATTTTCTGAAGTTGCAACCGAAAGTGATGAGACGAGCATGTGGTATCCGAGTGGGTTTCGTTGGCGCTCACCCTACGAGAATTCGGTTTGTTGGCGACGTCATCCTTGTCGGGGCATCCTTGAGACAAGTCCAGCGCATGCTTCGCGATGTACGTGATGAAGTCGCCAAGCTGGGTCTGGAATTACATCCGCATAAAACTAAATACTTTGAAACCAACGTCCCCAACAAATCCGTACACATCCAACACATGTTTCCTACCCTACCCCTCATTTGTAAATCTCACCGTTCGGTCTTCACCAGAAGTATTTGGGCAGGAAGTTCACCCTCCAAGACAAGCACGCGTGCGAGGTGGACGGCCGCATCGCTGCGGTGTGGTGTACGTTCCATGATTTGAATCATGAACTGACCACCCGCTCACATTTCTTAGGCGGCCAGATACGGTTGTTCATTGGCACGTTTATCATCACAGCCCTCCATGGTTGTATTTCTTGGATTTTCACCGACCAGTTGACAAACCGAATGCGTCGGATACATCGTTAGAGGGTACGAATGGTTCTCGGTGCCCCGAGAAGGCGGCGAGAACTTATGGATGACCAGTTCACGCGCAGGGATGGAGATGTGGACCATATGGGCGGCAGATTATGTAGTTTCCCCAGCCACGGCGGACATGATGTCGCCGAGATGTTCGACAGTGGCTTCCGCAACAACGCAGGCCAGCTGGAGCCATTGGTCGATCGGCCAGACGCGCCATGCACGAGGCGGAGCACTTGCTGAAACGATTGCGCGTCGATGATTGGAGCACAGCCCATTGTCGCAGGAAGCGGAGATGGGCGTCACAGGTCGCATCCGACCATGATGAATGGACATACCGGCATTGATGTGGGAGCCTGAACCCGAACCAGGTCGTAAACAAACCAGACCACAATTTCAACGGAACATGTGCAACAAGCTTTGGGTAGACTTGGTGAGACGGAGGTCTGGGTCAGCACAGCGTTAACATCAACGTGGAGCAAGCTCGAGAATATTGTTCTGCATCTTGAACGTACATGGCTCCTTGCCCGTTGTTTTACAGATGCATATTCCCGTCTGTTGGGCGCTCTGGCCCAAACCCGCGTCGTCCCCTCGCGTGGACACTCATGCGGCCGTTGTCGTTGTCACTGTTCTCATCCTATTCTCCTTTTTCCGCCGCCGACGACGACGACGACGACCGACCGACGCAACCGCCAGCAGGCCCGTCCTGGTTTCCAAGGAACTCGGCCATCGGACTGTCAAATTTCGATCGTCCCACCACGCCGTCAGGCCGGCCCCGGCGCCCCCAGCGCCATGCGCAGCACCGTGCTTGGGCAGCTGGTGCGATGGCTGGCGCTGGCCCTGAGCATTGTGCCCGCCAGGGCAGCGGGTGGGGTCCATATTCACAGGGGGAAACGGGGCAGAAGGGGGAAAGAGAGGGATCCTCTTCTTCGTCCTCCAACTCCCCCTCCTTCGTTCCGGAGGCTGGGAGGCGAGATCGCAGTGAAACGGAGAGCCCCCCACCTGGAAATCGGCTTTGGTTTCGTGTCGCGCGTGCAGGCGAGGCGCGCGGGCGGAAGAGAGGAATTGCCTAGCCTTGGCTCGGGCGGAACCGGGCTCAATGTCGCTCCGCCCCCCCGTTGGCCGCGTTTGGCCCTGGGGGTGTCCCGCCGGTGTGCCGTGGTGTCCCGTGGTGTCCCGTGGCGCGGTGTCCCGTGGTGGCCGGTGGAGGTCGATTGCGAAATCGCTAGTGAGATCGGTAGTGAGATCGATGGTGACACCAGTAGTAAGATCGATAGTGAAATCGGTGGTGGGATCGAAAGCGAGGTCGATGGATAGTGAGATCGATCGAGGGAGATCGATTGTGGAATGATCGTGTTGCTCTCCCGTGGTGTACCGTGGTCTATCGCGGTGCCCTGCGTTGTTGTATGTTGTTCCGTAATGTCTCGCGGTATCTCGTGTCGATGGATGGATAGTCGGATTGGCGATGGCGATGGTGGCGGTGGTGACGTGGTGGCATTTGTTTACCCGCGATGGCGGCGGTGACGCAGTCACCGATCGATAGTGACATTGGTAGATGATAGATTGTGGGATCCATTGCGAGGTCGATACTGGGATCGCTACGCAGATAGTTGGATCGATTGCGCGGTGGATAATTAGACCAATGGATAGAGAGACGGGTAGATAGATAGTGGGTCGCGCTGGTGCCATGCAGTGTCTCCAGGTGCTCCGTCCGATGGTATTTCGATAGTGTCCCGATGGTGTCCCAGTGGTGCCTCAGTGGTGCCCCAGTGGTCTAGTCAGCGTCGTCATGACGCATCGTCGCCGACTTGTTAGCGCATCACCCGCATCGTCGCCACCACAGTCGTCGCAGTTGCCGCCAGTTGCCCCGCCCCCCCACCCCACCCCAGAACCTCCTTATCACGCGAAGGACTGTCGCATGTCGTATAGGCACATATTCAGAGAGAGAGAGAGTTACACATCCTCCTCCGCCTCCTCCCCCTCCTCCTTGTTCAGCCTATCACATGCTTTGTTAGTTGCCCAGCCCCAGCTCGCCTGAAGATCTCCGTTCGGGAACCTTGGCGGCGCTGAGCTTTGTTCGTAAGCGCTCGTCGTTTTCTCCTGCATAGCCCGTTGGGCACCTCGGTCTCCTGTTACGCTCGCCTGCCCCCCCTTTGACCCCTCGAGCTTCCTTCGGGGATCAGCAACGGAGCGCGTCCTCATCGGCCACCGCTTCCAATGCTTGCGACACCGGGGGGGCGTTTGGGGGGCCCAAGGCCACAATGTTTGCCACATTTCTTGCGCAGTTGTGTGCCACCTCTGAAACTCCAGGGAGGCCTTTGTCCGCCTCCTGACACGTCAGGCCGAAGACTTGGATGCCGATCGCCAGGGTGCACGGCAGGTTGTACAATGGGTGCGCTGGGTGCAGGCGATCGTCCGCGAGTTGAGTTTGGTCGTCACCGATTCCCATGCGAGGCGTTCCAAAAGTGGCCTTGCCTTCGAGGATGGACGAAGTTGCCATCTCTTCCTCGGCGGAAGGCGGCGGAAGGTCGGCGGACGTAAAACTTGGCCGCCTCCGCCAGCGGGAGCCGGCCGAAGGCCAGTGGAAGGGTGGAAGGTGGCGGAAGTGAAAGATGCGCCCGTCAGAGATGAACACATTTTTGGGGCCAGGGTTTCCGAAGCCCGGCATGTATGTTCAAGTCTTAGGGCGAGCGAATCGACGGCAAATACGGCGGCGATCCCCATGGCCAAGCCTCGGTTGGTGTTCCACCGGCTTTCATACCCTGCATTCATTATCCGTTGGTTTTCTCAATCCAATGCCCTTGCCTCATCCGCCCCCTCCGACCAGAGCTGCAGGTAGCACGGGGCCAGCCGGCGCCCAGGCTGAGATGGGTCGGGTTCCTCCTGGAGAGGCCCCCTCCCCCCCAAACCCACTGCCGCCGCCTAGCGCTTGCGCGGTGCGTCGACCAGGCAGCGGGCTGGGGATCGGACCCCAGGGCAAGGAGGTCTCGGCCCGGCCGGCCCCGCTGGCTGTCCGAGATGGTGTCAGGGATGGCCCTGATGGTTCGCCACTGGGGCGGGAAGAAGCTGAGGCGCGTGTAAGTAAGTGGTCCTCCCCTGGCCACTGCTCTCGCCCCCTCCAGGGCAGGGGTCTTTTACCATTCGCCGTTCGCCGGACCACTCCCCCGCCCTGGAAGCGTCGCGTTTTCACATTACCGAGCAGTGCGCAAGAATCGCTACCCATCCTCCCCAAGATCTCTTCCCCTTTGAGTGGATATTCCTCCTCCTACAGTCATTGGGAAAGCTTACTAGTGAGAACTTGTTGCCAGACCGCGGCGGCGACGGCGAGGGCGGCGACGATTACGACGCCCGCGCCGCTAACGACGGCGACGGCGGCGATGGCGGCGACGTCGGCGACGACAGCGGCCCTGGCGAAGGCGTGGACGACGACGCCAGCAGCGGCGACGATAAATATAGCGACAATGACGATAGCGCCAGCAAGGACGACGCCACCAGCGAATGTGACGGCGGCGACGGCGCCGGTGACCGCGACGACGACGATGGCGACGGCCAGATGGCGACGATGCCGACAGCGACGTTGGCGGCCACGGCGACGTCACACCACTATGTTCTGCTCGATCTGCTGGACGGCCCGCGCACGGTGAAAATGAAGTGCTGGAGCGTCCGCCGTGGGTTGCTGGAACACCCCCGCTCGGTGAACATGTAGTGCTGGCGGGCACGCCGTGGGCTGCTGGTGCGCCGACGCTCCCGCTCGGTACAAGCGCAGTGCTGGAGCGCACGCCTCGTTGTCAAAGTCACCGTGGACGCAGCGAGGATCAAACCGAGGAGATCGCCCCAGAGATGCTTTGATGCGTGCACGTGCGCGCTAAGTTTCCACCGCCAGCAGTGTTCCAGTGATCCTGCCCCCTCGCTTCCTCCGCCTCTTCCGCGGGCAGGGGAGAAGCAGCCGCGCGCAGGAGCTGCCGTTGCTGCTCCTCGCTCCCTCAGCTCACCCGTTTCTTTGACCTCTAATCCCCCTCCTCCTCCTCCTCCTCTTTTTCCTCCTCCTCCTCCTCCTCCTCCTCCTGCTCCTGCTCCTACTCCTACTCCTCCTCCTCCTCCTCCTCCTCCTCCTCCTCCTCGTCCCCCTCCTCTTCCTACTCCTCCTTCGCCTTCTCCTTCTCCTCCTTCGCCTCCTTCTTCTCCTCTCCCTCCTCCGCCTCCTCCTCCTCCGCCTGCTCCTTCACCCCTCCCTCCCCCAACCCCTCCCCCCGCCCCCTCCGCCCCTTAACGGCCATCCCTCCCCCTGCCGCCGCCCCACCCGTTCGCCCTCCTTGCAACTTTTCCTTCTCGTCCGCCTCGTGCTGCTCCTTTCCCCCCCCCGCGTCCTCCTCCTTGTCCTCCTCCCCTTCCCCTCCTCCTCGGCTCCCTCTGCTCCCCGCCCGCCCGCTCATCCTCCCCCGACGACGAGGAGGCGGCGGCGACGACGACGGCAGGGGCCCACGCGCCGGAGCTGATCGGGGGTTCGGTGAGGCGAACATCTTCTCAGACATCCTGTGGAGCAACTGGCACCCGTCCGCCTCCGCCTGCCTTCGCTCGGGGGCGGAAAAGAGGGGGGTGATGACTAGGTGGGGTGGATATCATGGCGGGGGGCATGATATTTCTCCAGATTTCATGGCGCCTCTTCTTATTCCACTACGGTCCCTGGCCCCCCCGCTGGGCCGCGCATATGCCGCCGGTCATGATTTGCACCCCCCCCCTCTTGGACACCCCCCTCTTGGCCGCTCCCGATTCGCTGGGTGAGCTAGAGAGATTAGGGGGGGCGGCAATCGGCAGGAAGGAAAAGGGGCCGTCCTGGAGGCCAGGGGGCCTGCAGGCGTCTCGGCGTTTTGGCTGTGCCCTGTAGGGCAGAGAGGCCTTTTGTGCGCTTGGGCCAGAGAGGCTACGGAGCGGGTGGAGTGGGGCAAGAAGGAGGGGGGGCAGGAGGAGGAGAAGGAGGCGCAGGAGTAGGAGGAGTCAAGTTGCCGCGAGGGGGCGCAGCGGCGGCTGTTACCAGACATCCACACCGACACACAAGCTCCACGTTGGGGGAAAGCGCAGAGGTGTTGCGTCGATCCCGACACTCGTAGCGGGGGTTGGCAATGCCGACCGACGTTAAGCCCGGTTGCGGTTGACGCCGCGCCCGCGCACGCCCGGCGTCCCCCGCCCCAAGCGGCCCTCTCTGAGAACGGACAGCGTCGTCGTCGTCGGCGGCGGCGTCGTCGTCGTCGTTGTCGGCATCGTCGTCGTCGTCGTCGACGTCGTCTTCGCCGTCGTCCTGCACGGGGAGGGGTCCACGGCTGCAGGTGGCGCCGGCCCAGCACAGCCGGCCGCGGCTGCCGTTGCCGCGCTGGGAGGCCCAGCCGCCCCACCGCGCGCCTACGACGCCTGGACGTCCAGTCGTCGCGCAAGCGCAAGGCGTGCTGCTGGCAGTGCCGCGAGCCCTTCGAGGAAGGCCGTGTCCGCTGAATACTTCGAGCCAAAGCGAGCAGAGGTGGCGGGTGGTTCCTGCACAAGGCCTGCGTTCACGCCAGCCTCCGTGAGAAGGGCCAAATATTGCATGCCCAAGCCATACCAGACGCTGAAAACGAGGAGTTCCAAGCCCTGGATGTGCAGATGTTGCCGGCTTATGGCGCCTCGCTCACGGATCCCGCGAACGACGACGAGCAGGAGATGGACCTCGGCGGAGCCATGGCAGTTGAGCAAGTATGCGGCGATCCGGCGAGGCACGCAGACGACAGCAAGGAGTTGCGCTGCATGACCTGATGGGCAGGCGTGGACATCCCCCGCATGTTGGAGGTGCAAGTCTGGACCTACGATGCCTCGCCGCGTGACGTGGAGGCGGCGCTCGAGAAGCTCTTGCTCATGATGGGGCGGTCCTTCAACGCATGACCGCCTCGCAGCGACGATAAGGATACAAGCGCTGCGGCAGAAACCCGAGCAGCACGAATTGCACGCCTACGCCACTGCTGGCGAGGAGAACGGCAAGAGCTCGCAGAGGACGCAAACAGACCCTGCGAGGACTAGCCCGGCAAGTCGTGGGACCAAGCCGAGATCCCATCCAAGAGGCATCTGGCGGAGAGGGTGGAGTGGAGGCGATGGCGCTGGCGGGCGAGCTCCCGCGAGCTCTGAAGACAGCAACCAGTACGTTGCCGCTGACTAGCGAAAAGAAGCACACTCCTGAGGTGGCGGCCCTTTGCCCGGAGGAGAACATGGGGCCTGCCCCACCGTCCCACCCCCGCGTGATGTCGCGCCAGAGAGCCCGAGCTGGATCAAGCTTCAGGGCCACGCACAAGGCGACACGACAGGCATGGCGAAGAAGACCGGGCCAGCGATGGGCGGGTCGCGCTTCGAGCATCCGACCGGGAGTTGCAAATGGGTCCAGCGCCGCAAAGAGCAGGTCGGCGTGGCGCGGGCGCGCGGGCAGGCGCCTGCAGTAGCCAATTCGGCATGCCATGTGGGAAGACTGCTGACGCCTGCCAAGTCATCAGGCGGGTTGAGGCCGTCGGTAATCACAGCGATGCTGGGGCGCATCGCCCAGAAGAGCCTCACCCGAGTCATCGCGCTGGAGATCCGCGCGACGCTGGAGCGCGTGCAGCATGCGATCGGCGTGGATGGTGGCACTGGGAAGCTTTACCGCACAGTGTCGGCGCTGCTAGCGGGCTGCCCTGGCAAGGTGATCGCGGCTCTCGACCTCAAGAACGCCTTCGGCTCGATGAGTAGGGTTGCGATGCGCAAAGCCATGAAGGAGGTTAGCGCCGGAGCTAGACGCAGTATTCACGCGGTTTTCTTCGGGAGCCCTGCCTTTAATCTGGGAGCACGCGGACGGGGGAACGACCGCGTTCTAGGCCAAGGTCGGCATCGATGCGGTCTGCCCATTGTCGCGCATCCTCTTCCGCTTGAGGCCCCACGAAGTCCTTGCGAAAGTGCGCAGTACTGCGCCGGCCAAGTCAAAGAACTCATTCATGAACGACGTCTACTCTGTCTGCAAGGTGGTGGACGCGGACGCAGTGATCAACACCTTCAGCGAAGCAGCAACGCACGCGGGCACGGAATTGCATCCTCTCAAGATCAAGATCTCGGGGGCGCAGCGGCACCAGCTTCCGGGGCACCTTCAGAGGCGCCGCGCGGACAGCATGGCCATCTTGGGCAACAAGGTCGAACGCACAGGCGACTTCATGCCCGCGTTGTTTGTTCGACGTGATCATCGGCAAAGTGGCGAGCGATGTCGACCTGCAGAGCCACGGGCTGAGCCGCGAGACAGCGCGGGCGCCGTCGCGCACGCCTGCCGCGGCCAAGCCCCTGCACATCATCTGCAGCACTCTCGCCCCAGAGGAGGCGTCAGCACGCTTCGAGGCAGTCAAGGCGAACGCGTGGGAGCGCGCATTAGCGGCAGCATGGGGCAACGGTCAGCTCGCGATGGCCGCGCGCGCCCAGCTGCAGCTGCCCCTAGCGGCCAAGCGGCAGGTGGATTCGCAGCAGGGGGCGCCCACGGAGCAGGCCATGGAGCAGGCGACCACGGAGATGGCAGCAGGTACCGGCTCCCGGGCGCACGTTACGCGGCAGGCGGATAGGAAGTTCAATCTCCGAGAACGCCGGCGGGAGTGGATTAAGGCAGTGTAATCGCAGCGTCGGCAGAGGCTCTGCCAGACGCTCGGGCGCCGGGAGAAGATCTCCTTCAATGAGGCGGAGGAGGACAGCAGTAAGTTTCTGACGGTGCCGACGCGCGAGGAGCACCGCATGTCCGGAGCGCAGTTCGCCGCAGCGACGCTCCGCCGTTTTGGCGCGCACTGCTAAAGCGCACCGCAGAAACATGACATCCAAAGGCGGGATCTGCGGCGTTGCCTTGGGCCCAGAAGGCCACGGCGGTGTCGTGGGCGTCTTAGTGCGCAGGCACGGCAGCGCCTGAGCCACGCTCCAGAAGACGCTGCACGAGCACCTGGGCGCGCCGGCACCTGGGTGCGCGATTTATCCTCACCCGATGTTATCTTCGTCCTGGCTTCGTCGCTTAAGGAGGAGGAGGAGGAGGAGGAGGAGGAGGAGGAGGAGGAGGAGGAGGAGGAGGAGGAGGAGCAGGAGGAGGAGGAGGAGGAGGAGGAGGAGGAGGAGGAGGAGGAGGAGGAGAGCAGCAGGAGCAGCAGGAGCAGCAGGAGCAGCAGGGGCAGCAGGAGCAGCAGGAGCAGGAGCAGGAGCAGGAGCAGGAGCAGAAGAAGGAGGAGGATCGGGAGCAGGGCAGGGAGGAGGTGGAGGAGGAAGAGGGGGGAGGAGGAGGGCAGGGAGCAGGAGGAGGAGGTCCAGACGAGGCGTGCCCTCGAACGTCGGGCGCCGCGCGCGCCCCGTGCCTTCGTGAGACAGCTCGCCAGACGAGCGAGGGCCGGAGGAGGAGGAGGAGGAGGAGGAGGGCAAAGAGGAGGAGGACACGGGGGGCGGGGAGGGGAGGGAGCAGGAGGAGGCGGAGGAAGTGCAGGGGAAGAGCGGCAGGGAGGAGCGCATGGGGGGGGGGGGGAATCGGGCCTCCGGGGCCGCCGCTTCGCCGCTCCACGGGCCGTCCTGAGGGCCCGGCGGCGATGGACGCGGTGGAGGGGGGGGGGAAGGGCAGGGGCCGAGCCGACTGGGCAACAGTCTGTGCTCCGAGAGGGCCCCGCCCGGGCAGATGTAGCCGCGGCATCGCCGAGTGAAGATGCACGCTGTGACCCTTCTCAGTCTCAGGCGATCGCCAAACATGGACCAGGGGGGCGTGGGTTAGCGACGGGCCCCGTTTCCATGGGAAGTCGCGGACTTCCGCCGCCGAGCGAGGCGGCACCGGCCGCATTTGGGGGAGGGCACCTCCCCCGATCTGTGGATTCGGCGACCGCGCGCCCAACCAATGGGTCGCTCATCCATGCTGGCGCGCCCCCGACTGAGTCGGACCCCCTTCGTGCCGCCCGGCGCGTGATGGGATCGAAGACGGGCGCATCACCATTGCTTCGCGCCGCCTTTGGCGCGCACTTCTCTCAGGAGCGAAGGGGGGGCAGGGCCCGAGCCTCTGTGCGGCTTCTGGTCTTTGGGGGGGGGGTCCTCCTCCTCCTCCTCCTTCCTCCTCCTCCTCCTCCTCCTCCTCATCATCATCATCATCATCATCATCATCATCATCATCATCATCATCATCATCATCATCATCATCATCATCCTCATCATCCTCATCCTCATCCTCATCCTCTTTCTCCTCCTCCTCCTCCTCCTCTTCCTCCTCCTCCTCCTCCTCCTCGCCCCCCTCCTCCTCCCCCTCCTCCCCCTCCTCCTCGTCGTCCTCCTCCTCGTCCTCCTCCCTACGGCGCGCTGGAATGCAGGTTTACTCGTCGTGTTGTTCTGTAGTGTTTGGCCCCCAGGGGCCGAGAATATTCAAAAATAGTTTTAAAAAATAGTACGGGTACATTTTTTTTTTTTTACAATTTTTCGTCTGAAATCCCCCTGTATGGGGACATGCCCGACCTAACCCTGGAAGTCCCCCGCACGATTCCTCACGACCTGCAACATGTGCACTGCTTGTCCAGAGGTGATGCAGGTTCGGGCCGGGCGAAAGGGAGGGGGGGGGGAGGCAGGGGGAGGGTGCGAAATCTGTGGCGTGCAGCTGTTTTTGGCCTGGCCGCCGCTCGCACCTGGTCGATACAATGATGCCTCTGGCCCCGGGAGGAACCGGAGAAGTCAGTTGCGTGAGCTGATTCGTTAATCCCCCTTTGCTCCCCCCCTTTCGTCCGACTCGGCAGGGCTTGTGCGGCATGCTGTCTGTGGCCGAAGCCTTGAGAATCGTCAGGCCACTTCCCAGCAGTGCCCGCGATCTCGCCGAGCGTTCAGGTTCAGCTCCGCCAGCGTACCCGCACAGGTGAGGCGTTCCAGGGGAAGGGCCGCGCCGTCGAGGATCGAAGGACATGCCATGTATTCCTCGGCGGGGGGCGGCAGGAGGGCGGCGGAAGGTGGCGGGAGCACAGCAAGGCCGCCTCCGCCAGCGGAAGCCGGCAGAAGGCCAGCGGAAGCCAGCGGAGCAACGACAGAAAAGCCGCGCCCAAGAGATGACAGCGTGTTTTTGGGGTTCAGGGTTTCCGGAATCCGCCAGATGGCCGTTCGGTGGCATTCCCGCCATCACCGTCGCCTTTGCGGCCCCTGCGCAGGCTGCCCGTGGTGCTGTTCGGTGCGTTCGCCGCCTACTGCGTGTACGGCGTCCTGTCGAGAACGCCCGAGCAGATTGCTGCCAACGAGCGGCTGATCAAGCACCTGCAGGAGGACATGAATGCTCCTGACGAGGACAGCATGGCCAATCAAGCGAAGCGCCTGGACAGGGCCGATGAAGAGGAGGGGGATGGGGGAGGGAGAGGATGAGGACGATGGTCAGGAGGGGGAGGAGGGAAGTGGGATGGATGAAGAGGAGGGCGAGGACGAGGACTGCAGGGTCAGAGTGCTGCCGCTGGGAAGGATATATTGCTTTCCCCGCAGAGTGCGAGGGGTATTTCCTTGGGAGTGGCGCCAGGAAAGCCAAGTCTTAAGTCGGGCCTGTCCTTCTACAGGGGGGATATTCAAAAATAGTCAAAACATAGTCTCGGAACTATTTGTTTGAGATGTTTTAGCCATTTTGGAGATTTGTTTTTTTCATACTTTTTATCGTTCGTCGAAAATCCCCCAGTAGGGGGACCCGCCCGACTTAAGCCAAGTCCCTGCGCGTCCCGAGACGGCTGTTTCCTAGCTGCAGCAACGAAGGCCTCGCTATCTAGACCGTTGCAATCGACTGCCAGTGCGCCATCGGACACCTAGTCTCACCGTTCGTCCAAGGGCACCCAGAGACATCCACGTTGACTCGAAAGTGCGCTCCCGACATTCATGTTCTAATACCGTACAAACTTTTGAAACGGGCCATGCAGTTCAACTCTCCTTTCTCCTTCCCCTCTGCCTGCCCTGGTCATCGCTCCTCGTCCTCTCTCCCATGGCCTGTCTTTGGATACAAAGCCTTCGCGTTTGTCCTTATCCCCGGTCCTCCTCCTCCTCCTCCTCGCTCCCTTTTGCCTCGCCTGCCCCGTTTTGTTCACGATGGCTGTCTGACCACTTGGCCGCGCGCTGCTCCGATAGGCCCCAAGGAGCACCTCTCAGGTGACTGCAACGACGGCAAATCAGCGTTGATGGCTCCCTCTTCTTCGACCACGCTTAAGCCCGTCTTCGTTGCTGGGCTGTTCCTTCAAAGCCTCTCCTTCCCTGTCTGCACGCTTGCACTGGCCTGTATCGTATGGCAGCCTTGTGCTGTACAACTCGTGCAGTTGAGTGCAGACCTCCACTATCATCTCACAAGCTGGCGCTTGCTTATGCCATGACCTTCTCCCTTGAAATCTATTCGCGTCGGGTATCGGCTCTGGTCGTTGCTTCCTTGGCACCGCCACGGCTCGCATTAAGTATCATTGTGCTGCAGTCCGCCCGTGGATATGAGATCGAGGGTGGCACTCGGCATGCAACGGATACGTCGCTGCACAGGTCTTGATAAAGGGCTTTACCAAAGTCTATCATAGGTCGGTCCCGAAAAAATGATATGTGCGTGACCTCGCGCCGATTTGACACTGCGGCACGCCAGAATTGTAGTGACAAGTGTGCCCCGCCGAGATCAGGCCAGAAGCATGCCTGGATGACGCGGAAGGCTTCTGCCTTAGACGGTGGGCCCACGACTTAAGACTTTAACCCTCAGGCCCTCCCGTACGTGAGCACCCGCTTGTCACCCAATCTTTTTATAGCGAAGAAAAAATGGGAGACAGGTTGGTGCCCCCCCCCCCTGTTTGGGCGCCCCCGCTGCTTTTGTGGCCCGCCCTGTTGCCCCCATGTCGCCCCCTCAAATATGCACCCGCTTGTTGCCCGAAATTCGGAAATCTGAGGCAGCAGGCGGGTGGCCAGGCTGGGGGTTGGGCACGGGCAGTGCTCCTGGCATCGCTCGAACGTGTGCATTGTTTTCTCGGCGAGGACCCTGGAGGAGCATCCTGGGCCATCGAACAAAAAAAGCACGCACGAAACCGAAAAATGCATTGGGAAATGGACGTCCGAGCGACGGCAAGTGTTCGGCACCCGAAGTTCGGGGAAATTCGGGGCGGGGCAGCCTGGGCCTCCCGAGCTTCGGGTGACGAGCAGGTGCTGATTCCAGGGGGGGAGGGACACCCGTCTGCTGCCCGAAATGTGGAGAAATTCGGCGGGGGGGGGTCAGCCTGGGCTCCCCGAGTTTCGGTCAGCAAGCGGGTGCCCCCATTCCAGCAAGCGAGATGGGCACCCGCCTGTTGCCCCCGAAGCTCGGCTAAAATTTGGGAGGGGCAGCTTGGGCGTCCCGAGTTTCGGGTAACAAGCGGGTGCCCATTTCATGGGGTGAAGCGGGCATCCGTTTGCTATTCGAAATTCGGGGGAGCAGCCTGGGCTGCCCGAATTTCGGGTAACACGTGGGTGCCCACTCAAGAGGGTGAAATTTGGCGCCCGCGTGCTACCTAACATTGGGGGGGGGGAATTCGGGGGAGCAGCCTGGGCTCCCCGAATTTCGGGTAACAAGTGTGTGCCCACTCCAGAGGGTGAAATTGGCGCCCGCGTGTTGCCGAAATTGGGGGGAGATTCGGGGGAGCAGCCTGGGCTGCTCGAATTGAGGGTAACAAGCGGGTGCCCACTCCAGTGGGTGAGATGGGCACATGCTGGTTCCCCAGAATTCGGAGACATTCGGGGGAGCAGCCTGGGTACCCCAAAATTCGGAAGGGGACCAGCCTGGCCCTCACTGAATGGCGGGTAACAAGCGGGTGCTCACTTCAGAGGGACGAAATGAGCACCCCCTTGTTGTCGGGCATCCGGGGGCTTCCCGAACTTCGGAGAACGAGCGGGTGCCCATGTCGGGAGTGAGGTGGGCACCCGCTTGTTGCCCGACATGCTAAGGTATTCGGGTGTTTGGGCACCCGCGAGTTACCCCGGATTGCGGGGAGGGCCGAATATTGGGAAACGAGTGGGCTCTCACCTGCCGGCCCTGCAGTTGGGAGCTGCGCCCTTCGACCTAGACCTCCTTGCGCCCCGGCTCCCAGAAACGAGAGGCCCGCGCGCAGGTGTCCGCAGACGTGCGGCCTCCGGCCCAGGACAGCATGCGCACGCGACAACCTGAGGAAAGCGGGCAAACGGGCAGAATCTCCTCCTCCTCCTCCTCCTCCTCCTCCTCCTCCTCCTCCTCCTCTTACTCCTCTTCCTCCTCTTCCTCCTCCTCCTCCTCCTCCTCCTCCTCCTCCTCCTCCTCCTCCTCCTCCTAATGCACGGCATATAGGATCGGCCTCGCGCAGAGGAGGGCAGGGGGAGGGGGAAGGCCTCCTAGAAGCACCCCCGTTCCTTAGAGGGCGCGGGCCTCCCCTGTGCAGTCCTTCCCCCCTCCCCCTACCCCCCTTCTGCGCGTGGCCAACAAGAATAGCGCGCCGACGGGGACGACACGAGCGGACACAACGCATGCAAAACCGTTCACGGATGGGCAGCCCGAAGGCCGGCACACCACACGCAGAGGTCGCGCAAAATTCAGAAGCCTCACGCCGACCTTTTTGATTGGAAGGAAAATCCTTCAAGCAGTGGCGAAGCGTCCTGGCTCGCCTACAGGCCCACCAAAGAATGTTCCAAAAACCTTTTCTGGTTTGCACCAACTTGGTCTTAGAACACGTCCGGCCGAGACTGTCTTGCTTTAACACGTCGGGTTTGTGTTCTAAGAACATTGTTTGTTATATTCGAACATTTTGGGGTTCTAAGACAATTTCGTGGTAGACCTATACGAATGCTGGGACGGTCGGTCCCTGCTCAAAACCTCAGCACGCCAGGAATCGCGCCGAACTCCAGAATATCGAGCCAAATTCTGCCGTGCCCCGCCCTGTAGAGAAACGTCCTCGCGCCCTCAGAAAAGATGATGTGTGCGGTCGTGCTCGGCCGTGCGATCACGCAGCTGTCGGCATCTCCCTGGCTGTCAATGCTTCGTGCCAGTGTAGACGGAATCAAGCGGAGAGCGCTCGGTATTCGTCTTCTGTCGGAGAACAAGTCGTCCCCAGGCCAAATTTCGTGGGTCCAATGTCGCTGATCCAGCTAGTGTGCTTGCGTTGCGGGGAGTGCGTCAGCACGTCTACGCGTTCATGGCATTCGATCGCGTGTAGCTCTCACCAACACGTGCCATCGATGTGACTACCAGTGCAGTCCTCCCTCCCCTCTCCTCCCCCGTGGGGGTCAAGGGCGTGTGGGGTGGGATTGAATTGGACCCTCGGAAATCCCGCCGAATCAGGCTCGAAACCCCTAGAATCTCATCCGCCCCAGCCTCCCCGTACGGGTGGATGGGGCTTTGCTTGGTTGACATAGCGCTAATGTGTATGACAACGCCTCTCATACTGCTGCGTTGTCATGTCCACCCACCTCGCGTTGGTCAATCCTGTCGCCTCGCGTCTGTGTTCATGCCACTGAGCGTTCGGCAGGATGAGACGGTATGAGGAGGAGGAGGAAGAGATCGTATTGTTGATGGTGAGGTTGGGTGCCGGGTGGTTGTGATGACCAGGGGGGATGAACATATGTACGGCTTGCATCTGTCATGTCCAACCAGTTCTGCAAGTTCATCTAATATTGGTGCGCATTGTTCAGTCAATTCAACCGAGTAGTTGCAGTCCCTAGGAAGTGCGCACCGTCTTGTAATGTCCGATCTGACTACTAGCGCTCAGAGACGGGGGGAGAGAGTGTGTGTGTGAATGTGCCGATGTGTATTCGCGTATGCGATGTTTCGTTGTTTTCTCGCACCTGTGTAAGTTTGCTCTCACGTGCATGCGCAGATGCCGTTTCAATGTCTGCGACTGGAGCACGTCTGGTCGATAGTTACACAGAGGATACGAAGCTTGTTCTGCGGCGTTGTGGCGCAGTCTGGTCGTATCGATGACTATGCATGTTCAAGCGTGCTCGCATGCTCCCTGTTGTTAGGGGATCGTCTGCACGCGCGAAAGCCATCGCGCGTGCCTGCGCGTGTACATGCGCGTGCAGTCGCGCCCCTGATGAATGCGCTGACTGTTTCGTTGTTATGTTTCTCCTCTCCGCTGCTTCGCCGCCGCCTCTCCCTACCCCTCCGCCTCCTCCAGGACGAAGATGCGCCGCCACCAGGGGACAAGAAGGCCGATTGAGATGTGGGCGCCCATTCGCATTCTCACTGGTGCCAAGATGCACGGCAGTTAACTTAGAGTACCGCGTGTTGTTTGTCACAGAAGCCATATGAGTCGTTCCCGTCACCCTCCTAGGTCAAAATCTAGATTGCCGTATGTCGTATGTGTCTTCGCTTCCGTTTCGGCCCATACCTGCTGCAGGCATCCCGCCTCCTGATCCACACCCTCTTCCTGCTGCCGCCGTCGCGATCTCCGACTCCTCGTGCTCTGCGGCCCCGCACTCGCCCTCGAGAAGGCCCTCGACGACCCGTGCATCCCCCACCTCGGCATCGGCCACGCTCCATCCTTGGCCGCTCCCCCCCCCCCCCCGCCCGCGCCGCCCCCACGCTTCTCCGCCGCGGCGCCGCCTCGGCCGACGCCCTCCTCTGGTAGGCGGGCTCCGAGCTCCCGCAGCCCCCCGCGCAGACTCCTGCCGACGCGTGCCCCGCGGCCCGCGAGGACGGCGGAAAAGGCGTGCACCGCATGCCTCGTCCTGTCGCGCGCGCTACAGTGGGGGCGCGCATCAGGAAGCCATATGCTTTTCGTCAGGGTGTCCTCGGTTTCTTTGCTCCTCGCGCTGCGCGGCGACTTCCCGCGGCCGTTGAAGGAGCTGCTGCGTTCAGGGTGCTCCAGGTTTCCCCTCCGGTGCACCTAGCACGCGGGTTTTCAGGGTTGGGTTTCTTGCGAGGGTTTCTTGCGGCCGCGCCCGCACTGTAGCCGCTCTGGGCACAGGGAGCCCAGCCGCGACTCCTGGTGGCTGCGCGACCCCTCAATAATTATTCACTGCGTGGAGCTCCCAATATGTACATCTATTCGCATGGACCTGCCCGCCGTGAATGTCTAGGCGCAAGAGCTTTCGAATATAAACGGGCTTCAGTTGTGACGGTCTGGTCATGAATCTAACTGATAATGAATTGGAGTATGAATGAGCCTCAGTAGTACGAGCGCGTCTCTGCGCATGAGCCTGGGTCCTCCTGGGACCTCCTGGGGCCTCCTGAAACCTACTGGGGCTTCCTGGGGCCTCCAGGAGCCTCTTGGGGCCTCCTGGGGCCTCCTGGGACCTCCTAGGGAGGATTCGTGCTCCAGGAGAGGCCCAATCTGTAGCAACAGACGTACATAAAACATTGCGGATTGGAGCCACAGGAGAAGGGGGCATCTTATAGGAACACACGTAAAACACCAAGGACTCGTGTCCCAGGAGAGGCCCTGTAGGAACATAAGTACACAGGAGAAGGACAATATATAGAAACATACGTATAACAAGGATTCGTGCTCCAGGTGAGGCCCGATCTATAGGAGCATACGTAAAACACATGGGATTGGAGCCACTCCTGTTGTCTTCTGAGGCCTCCTGCTCCTGGGGCCTCTCGGGGCCTCCTGTTGCCTTCCGAGGCCTCCTGGCGCTTCCTCTGGCCTCCTGGAGCTTCCTGTGGCTTCCTGAGGCTTCCCGGAGCTTCCTGGGGCCTCCTAGAGCCTCTTGGTACAGCCTGTGGCCTCTTGAGTCTTTCTGTGGCCTCCTGATGCCTCCTGGGACCTCATGTGGTCTCCTGGGGCCTCCTGGAGCCTGTTGGAGCCTCCTGTGGCATCCTGAGGAGAATCTGTGCCCACGAGTCTGGCCACCGATCGAGACATCCTCAAAATCTAGCCCACCTGGAAGGTGAAAATGAGGGCCTCGCTCGAGACATCCTCCAAATCTGCTCCGAAAGCGAAGGATGTTGAGACAGAAAACATGCAAACCGCTTGAGACATCCCCACAAAAAGGCCGCGACCGGGACCGTGAGATAACCCCTGGCGGCTCCTTTTAGGGACATGAAAATGAGCGCCCCGCTCGAGACATCCTCCAAATCTGCTCCGAAAGCGAAGGATGCTGGAACAGAAAACAGGCAAACCGCTTGAGACATCCCCACAAAACGGCCGCGAACGGGATCGTGAGATAACCCCTGGCGGCTCCCCTTAGGGACGTGAAAATGATCGCCTCGCTCGAGACATCCTCCAAATCTGCTCCGTCAGCGAAGGATGCTGGGACAGAAAACAGGCAAACCGCTTGAGACATTCCCGCAAAACGGCCGCGAACGGGACCGTGAGATAACCCCTCGGTAGCTCACCTTAGGGACGTGAAAATGAGCGCCTCGCTCGAGACATCCTCCAAATCTGCTCCGAAAGCGAAGGATGTTGGGACAGAAAACAGGCAAACCGCTTGAGACATCCCCGCAAAACGGCCGCGAACGGGACCGTGAGATAACCCCTCGGCGGCTTCCCTTAGGGACATGAAAATGATCGCCTCGCTCGAGACATCCTCCAAATCTGCTCCGAAGGCGAAGGACGTTGGGACAGAAAACAGGCAAACCGCTTGAGACATCCCCACAGAATGGCCGCGAACGGGGCCGTGAGATAACCTCTGGCGGCTCCCTTCAGGGGGAGCTGAAACCAGCGCCCCGCCTGAGACATCCTCACAATATGCTCTGGTAGCCAAGGATGTTGGGACAGAAAACAAGCAAACCGCTTGAGGCATCCCCACAAAACAGCCGCGAACGGGGCGTGCGTGAGTCTCACCATGAGTAAGTCTGAGTAGGAGTAGGTCTGAGTAAGAGTCATTTTGTGTGTGAGTAAATCTGGGTATGAGTAAGCCTGAGTGTGAGGCAGTCTGTGTATGAGTAAGTCTGGGTATGAGGAGGAGGGGAGGAGAAGGAGAAGAGGAAGGAGGAGGAGTAGGAGGCGTCCAAGTGATAACAAGAACCCCATTTTCGGATATGGGGAAAAAGGGAGCCCGCCCCCGGCTTGTGGGGCTCCCTGCCCCGGCTTTCCTCCCGCGTGTCTCCGTCCCCATCGGTCACTCGGCCGGTCTGGCTCGAGCCGTGCTGGCTCGCGATTATGGTGAGGGGGGTTGGGGAAGAGGAGGCGGAGGAGTCTTCAGGTGGTGGCATTGGGGCGCCTTCACCCCGTTAGTGGGCCCAGCTCCCTTGCGCAACCATCCTGGATAGCACGGTGGTCGCCAGAGCCCACCGTGGTTCACAATCAAGGTCAGGGCAACCATTGGACAAGCTGAGGGCAAGCGCTGGGTGCTTCCAGGTGGCGCCGCTGGCTGAGTCCGCTCACCGTGTCCTGCCGATAGTGGGTCAGTACGGCTTGGACTTTGTGCCTTTCGGGTCAATTCCATGACCAAGGGGGTGTCATTAAATCCGAATGCTCTTTTGGAGGCCTCCTTGATGGGGTCCGAGCAGATGGGGTCGGATGATCGCGCCGCATCGGCGATGCATCGGCGACGCCGGCGATGCATCGGCGCCATCGGCGTGGAGCAATCCTGACTCCACATCGAGCCGCATCGGTGATGCGGAGCGATCTTCCGATCCCATCTACTCCGACCCCATCTGGGGGACCCAGACCTTTGCGGCTCAAGCCGGACCGTGGCCAAGGCCGAGGAAGTATACCCCCAGGTGTTCTAAAGGTACCTGCGAGGCGAGTCTCGCGCCCCAGGGGGCGGAGGACCTCAGCAATCCTGGCCAGAAGTGGCACTCGAGAGGCTCGCGCCATCCCGCCGATCCCCCATAGGGTCCACTTCGATCCGACCGATCCGAGTCGACATCGATTTCGGCTGGCCCGATCCGACGCGATTCCGATGCCCTGGCGATCCGGCGCGGCCCGATGTTTGCGTGGCGCCGTTGTTCATTCTGGCGCGGCTGATCCTATCCGATTTCGATTCCGTGCCGATGCAGCCCGATCCGACGCGCAGTCCGATTCGACCGGAGTGTCCGATTCGATGCCTGCTGATCATGCCCCGAGAAGAGGAGACGTGCGGCTTCCGATATCGCACGTGGGCGAGTTGCTCTGGTCAGGGATGCGGAGGAGCATGCCGCGGAATAAAGGTTTGGGAAAGCCGTCATACGCCAAGAGGGGGAGGGCGCAGCAGGAATCGGAAGAGGAGGAGGAGGAGGAGGAGGAGGAGGAGGAGGAGGGGGAGTGGGGGGACGGAGGAGGGACGAGGAGGAATAGGCGGATGAGGAAGAGAAGGAGGAAGAGGAGGAGGAGGGCGAGCAGACAGGCCAGAGGCCTCTTGTATGCCTCTCGGTGTATCTTCGGATGTCTCCTGAAAGCCTCTTGGAGTCCCTCTGGGGCGCCTTGGGGGGTCTCTTGGCGGTCCCGGAGGCCTCTTGGGAGCCTCTTGGGGGCCTCTGTGGGGCTTCTTCGGAGGAGGGAGGAGGGAGGAGGGAGGATCGAGGGGGCGGAGGAGGAGGAGGAGGAGGAGGACGACGACCAGGAGGACGACGAGGAGGACGACGAGGA